TGCCAAAGAAACCTGGCCGTTCCTGGAGAAGACTGAGAAGCTGATAAAGACTGATTTGTATAGCCATTGCTATAGCCCTCACGAAGTCCCTGTCACCAGCTTGAGGAAGCAGTGGTTGGACTGAGAAAATGAATCAGATTGCTTGGCCATGTCTTTTGGAGTCAGAGAAATAAAAAGCCCAACTGAACTACATCATTCAGAATATCCTTGTCCAGTTTTAAGGTGAAAGTAGACAGAGGTGCTGGCTATGGAAATGGCCTTCCTTTACAGAGTTCCATGGAAGGATAAGGTTGGCTGTGCTTTGTGGACCACATATAGAAAATGTGATATAAAGCCAGTCAGAAATAAATTTTAAAGTATCCCACTAAGGGGTTGTGGGAAACACCTAGTCAGTAAAGAACTTTCCTTGAAAGCATAAAGATCTCAGTTTAGATACTCAACACTGGAGAGGAGAGATAGGCATATTCCAGGGTTTGATGGACAGCCAGATTTGGCTAAGTTCCAAGCTGTAAGAGACACTGTCTTAAAAAATCAAAGTGTATGCCCATCTCAAAAAAATAGAGCTAAGATTGTTTTCTTCAAATTTCTAAATTCCCCCAAACTCATGTGTACACATGCACATGCAAACACATGTGCACCTGCACATATATAAACAATTATGACACAAACAAAAGAATAATCTCTCCAAAAGTCTACCCAGCCATACTCAAAGGCCAGTGATTCATGAGAAAGAATATGGCCAGGCAAAAACAGGTGAGATGGCCAGGTGGATGTGACATTCCAAATTTTGCATCTTTTTGTTTATTAAACGTATGGGTGAGCCACTGAGAAAAATATGTTATTTACCCTGTGTTTGAAAAATATTCAAAGCCAAGATAAGGGATGCTTTGTCAACTAAGTTTTAAGATGTCAGACATTGACTATAACTTTCTAGATATTCTGAGACACAGAAATTGGCAGAAAGCTGATCATCAAGTATTCCTTCTCACCATGAGTTACAAAGACATAAGCAACACTTGCATAGATTAAAATATAAATATGGATGGGCAGATAAAGTTGCAAGTAGTTCAAAGCAGTCTTCCACCCAGTGAGACAAACTTTCTTATGGAATAAAAGCAATACATTTGTGTATAATTTGAAGTCAATTGAAATTCTTTCGGGATAACTTGAGAAATACAAACACACATCTTCTCTTCAAGTTTTAAGTGCTGAAAGTTTCTATTAGCTCAGCTATTAATCAGTGGAGAACATAAAACCAAGCATTGTTTTATTCCTAACCTAGTTCCTGAAAAATGAAGGAGGTTGTTAAGTAGATCATTCCCCAGACATTACTGTTCTCAATGCTCATTACTCTTCTGGGAAAACCCTAGAGGGCCAGGAAGGCCTATCCTCAATGGGTTCACATCACAAAGGGCCTCAAAGGTGGTATCTTCCATGGACCACACTCATGAAAAATAGACCCAATATTCATGATTTTTATGCACATGGAAGTATATCAAACTTGTTCCAATAATAATTACTTGTTTTAGAATTAAGAACATAAAAGCATAATCAAAGAGCCTAATAATTTTACACCTAGGTAAAGAAAATGTTGCCCAGGTAAATTAATCAACTTTCTGATAGAGAACATTTTAAAAGCTTACCTTTAAGATATAAGTTTTGTACACCTTTGCTATTTTAATCATATCTAAATCTTTTATTGAATGTTACTTTGTAAAGAAATAAAATCTTAATTAAGGAAAGTTTAACTTACAGAAGTAAATGGTTCAAGATTATTCAAGAAATCCAGTAGAAGAAAGGTTTTCTTTCTCATCTCTCCCCCATTAATAATAAACTCATTCTGATGACTGTTTTGGAATTATACCTTGTTAATGTCTATTTGTGTTTGTGTATTTATCCAATCACAAAATACATGATGCCAAATACCTTTAGTTACCTACTTGTGTTTATTTTATAAAGTTCTATAAAACAACATGTCTGCCCTCAGAGAGCTTGCATTCTAGAAAGGCAATTCAGAGAAAACCATTTTGCATAAAACCTCAAAATGATGATAGGGGCTTTTCTAAGAGATTCTAAATGAAACAGATAATTGTCTAGCATTTATAAAAGGTCTCATCTATTCCCACTGAAAAGAAGTAATTGAGTCTGTAATTACTTTCATTTCATAAGGGACATAGTCATGGATTCTAAAGATGTAATTGTGACGGGTGTTTTCTTAATTGCTCTAATTGCTTTATAGGGAACACCATCCTATAGCATTGAGGAAGTTTCAATAGTCAGTGGTAACTAACGACATCATTGAAAGTATTCAGAAACTTTTTCTTTGTTGTGTGTTAGAGGCTCAGCTGTGGTCACCTTGTGGTGATCTACAGCTGCAGTAGTAGCACTTGTGTGATAGACAAGCAGGGGCCTTGCCTACCTATACACAAGAACCATTGAGGTGCTGACAATGCTTCTCCATCTTGGGATGGCAAGACATCCCTGGGGAACATTCTGTGGCCTCTGCCCAACCTGGTTATCTCAAAGAGGCCCAGAAACATTGTTCCCTCTTTTCATAGGGATCCAGTGAGAAAAATGAAATCATAAAAAATCTAAGTAAAATATTTAATTGTATTTTATTATCAATTCTATACTTGGACACTATCTCATTCTATATTCTATGAAATAGAATGAAAGGGTCAATGCTCTAAGCAGAAGGGATTAGCTTCATAGGCAGGAAAGGACTGAATGAAGCAGAAACCAACAGAAAGCAGATGGATCCTTGCAAATGTATCCTTTACATAATTAAAGTAGAGAAGGCTTCCTTAGGATGCTGGTTAAGAGGAATTCCACTTCTTGTTGGTGGCTGGAAATCTTCTGTCTAGAAAACTGGCCTGTGCCATTCTATGGCAATTGGCACAGGGAAGTCCATGCTGGGACAGCCTGACCTGCTATAGCATTAGTCCAAACAATGGCCTTCCATGTTTTTCTTCAACAGCTTCACTGAGGTGTTGCTTCTGCCAAGAAGATGGAAAATGGTTTTTTCTCAGCATTCTCTGGCCGGCTACCCAAGTCTCCCTAAAAGCTTCCCTAAGAAAAAGTTGTTTCTCTCTGCCAGGATTTACAGGACAGATCTCTAGAATGGGAACTTTCATAACATCTGGTAATAAAAAACAAGCTCTCTAGAGTGAAAACGGCAGTGTTTGTTTTTAAATAAAGTTTGTTTTTTGAATGTTTTCACTGAGCTAAGGCAGGACTGAGATGCCTGTCTGCAGGCTTGTTTGTTGTCTCCACAAACAGGGGATGAGCAGCTGAGTATCTTCAGGAAAGCTGTACTGGAGTAGAACAGTTCTAGAATGGACCCAGAGACTCCGGTTTTACTTCTGTAGCTAACAGTTCTGATAGACCATCCAAGAGTCTGAGTCAGAACTCATCTGAGTTGGATGGTAGAATTCCTCTACTGTATAAGCCCACTATCACATATAATTAGTGTATTATGCTAACATGATAAATAGTACTTAATGTCTCCCTAAATTAGATTGACCTCAATCTCTAAAGGTCACTGATTCTAACAAAATCATGTTTGTACAACACTTTATGTTAAAAAAAAAAAAAGATTCATGCAAGGTCCTAAGAAAAATATCAGGTATATCCTTTTGAGGGACAACTTCCCTCAGGGCAGGTGCTGAAAAGTCTCATCAGAACCTGTGCCAATCAAACCACCTACTGCTTTGTATTTGTTTCCATAGGCAAAGTGGAATCTGATGTTCTCTTTCGTAGTATATTTTATATGTATCTCTTTGTAACTTTAAATCCTGTGGACTTCTATGCAGATATTTGACCAGAATAGGCTGAGAAGGTAACTTTTTCATGTTATCTAGGGTGATAATTTTTTTAGTGGTTTTTTTTTTCTGATTTAGCAAAGAATGTCAGTTTGTGACAATTAGCTATACTCTAGCCAAGCATCAATAGATCAGTCCCAACTGGTTCCTCTGGCCATAAAGCAGGTCTAGTACTCGCTTGGTGTGGTATGTGATTGCATAGGAGCAATTGTATGTAAAACTCTGGAGACATTCTTGAATTTGAGACGTTGTGTGTAACTTCAATATTGAAATTAGTTGAGTGTACCTTGATAAGTATGATTGCATCTATAAATGAGAATTACACAATAAGGGTATAGTCTGACCACACTATAGTGCATGATCCCACACCCAAAAATATCTAGGCAGTACTGATTGGATTTAGTGGATTGTTTTAAAAAAAAGGACATAAATTGGGAGGGGTATGAAGAATTCGGGTAGATCTGGGAAGAGTTATTGAGAGGGGAGGGAAAAGAATAATATAATAAAATATATTGTATGAATACACGAAATTCTCAAATAAAAATTTATCTAATTAAATGAAGGTATAGGATCAAGCTAGAAGGTATCAAACAGGGTAACTACAGGGTAAACAGAATAACCCAGGCAGAAATCCAAATAGAGTCAGCTCCACTCCTCCTTAACCATAGAGTCTGGTACTTATGGAGCACCTGCTCTATGCTGGAGACTTCCATGAACTATTTCAGTTCTTCAAGTAAACATGGAGAAACCAAGAAACAAAAGATATCCTGTATTTAGCTGATGCACAACAGGGAAGAAAGTCTCCACAGGAATTGCTTCAAACGAATTAAAGAGACAAAGATTTCTGTTTGGTATTTAGTTCTGGTGACTTTGTTGAACTTTCCATTAACTCTGCATGTGATTGCCTATGGCACCCGTGGTTTGGTCTAATTTCCACCTAAAATAGCCAATGGCTTATTAGTTGCGAGCTCTGGAAATCAGAATGTCAGTTCTATTTTCTATCAGATGACCATGCCAGAGTTGCCTCTGAGCAATTCCTGGGGAATGAGAGCAAACTCTATTTGGGGTTTTACTCAATACCTTTCTGAGCAACTATTAAAAATGCCATCGGTGATCAGACAACATAAGCTATAATTCTAACACAGCCTCCCCATGCTTTTCTGTCTCCCTGTGATTCAGGAGGAAGGATGCTGGCTTCTTATCCTACAAAGATCACCTGCCAGTGAGCCAGGTGGTGGTTGGAGATACTGACCGACAAGGCTCAGAAGCCAAGCTGAGCGTGGGTCCCCTGCGCTGCCAAGGAGACAGTAAGTTTGCCCAGCAGCTGTGGCTTGCACTTTCTTATCACATTGAAATAGTGTTTCCAGGGTGCTCAGAAGATGCCAGAAAACATGTGTGGTTTTCAAAAATCATCAAACAACACAAGCAGGACCAATAGAAAGCTACACGGATCTTTATTGCAGAAGAAGGTGTGTCCAATATAGAAACTTCAATTCAGGCATAAGATGCGGATATCCATCTTCTTCATCTATTCATATGTAACAAGTTTGACTACCTAAGCTTATGGTAGTATAAATAGCAATGCTAACAGCATAAAAGTGCCACTCAACAGCTGGGATTCCACTGTGTGCTGCTGTTAATGCCATTAGCATGACTATTTATATCACCATAAAACTCAGTTTTATGGTGATATAAATAGTAGCATTATAGCTTAATGTATTATTGTAAACTTGGATTATGGCCATATAAAGTTTGACATTATAGCTATCAAACTCCATCATCATCAAAGCTTGATGGTCCCTTAAAAGGCAAAGATGGTTTCTGTAACGATGTCCTGCTTTCAGGCTTAGGCACCACGGAGAGGAATTGGGGGCTGCTAGCTTGGACAGTGGGAGGTAAGAAAGTCAGCATGATGGTCCCACCTAATTAAGGGCACCATTCAGGTTTTATGTTGTTTGATACCCTTCGGTGTACTTTATGTGCAGTGGGAGGGGAACAAGTGGAAAGTTGCTATGGGGATTCAGCAACGAGCATCCTGGGCATCATTCCCCTCTATTTCCTGCACATGTGATACTGGCAACACTCCTGGGAGTTCTGTTCTTTTTGTGGTTGTGTACAAGGCAACAGAAAACCTAGATTCGACTCCCTCAATAACAGGCTTGCTCCAAGACCCCAGGCAAGCCTCTCCATTATATCAGCTGTGGTAATGAGAGTACCACCTGCATCCCGATGCCTCCTGGGGAGACTATAAAGGTTTTTAGTGCCTGAGTTTGGATTCCTCCTAGCAAAGCATTATTGAGATGGAATATTCTTTATAACTTCTATAAATCCGTGGACAATTAGGCCGACTCAATGATAGATACTTGTGTCCACTCGAAGAGGTGTCCTAAGAAATGTAAGGATCCACACTTAGCAGTTTACTGCTTAGTTATTTGAGACAGTCAGCGGCTAAAAGGAGGGATGCTCCTAATACAAAAGAGGGGTGACCTTTGGACTGATCTTTCTCTTCTTACATTGGAAAAAATGCTACCTACAGAATTGGTCACAAAGATCTTTATGAAACCTTGACTATAAACCATAACACTTTATTTGTGTATCCAGACTTAGTAGGGGAGCTTGGTAAGATATCTGGTTTCAACTCATTAAGAAAAGATACTGGCACAGAACAGTAAATAATATGCATATTAAAGAAATATGCTAAAAAATGAACTATCATGTTCTTCACAGTAGGACTCTCATGTATTGTATGCTGAAAGTAAATTTTATTATGTCATAATTACTAATTAACATATATGTTAATAGCTCTGGTTTATTAACTCTAATTCTGATTTTCACTTTGAACTAGAGAAAAGTTCCAATTAAATGACTGATTGACTTAGTACCATAAAAATCCAAGTTTTACTATCAAGAGAAGGTTATATATTAGAGTATATAATTTTTATACCTAATATATTACTTTAGCTAATATGAGATTGATTCCCTTTTAACAATAAATTATGCCTCAAGAAGAGTTTATCATGACCACTCTTTGCATACTACATCACTAGGTGATCTGGGAGTAGAAGGTAGTTCGAATGTTTTTTGAGAAATTCACTTGAAAACGTGTTAGAATCTACAGACGTTTTATAATTTAAAACTAGGTTTTCTGATATAACATTATTATAACTGATTTCTCAAAAGGAATGATAAAAGATACATTTAAAGTAGGAGGCAGAGGCAGGCAGATTTCTGAGTTCGAGGCCAGCCTGGTCTACAGAGTGAGTTCCGGGACAGCCAGGGCTACACAGAGAAACCCTGTCTCGAAAAACCAAAAAAAAAAAAAAAAAAAAAGTAGGAGTCTGTGTGTATGCGTGTGTGTGCATGCGTGCATGCATGCAGGCAGACTAGATACTGATTCTGGAGTTCTAGAATACCTCCCACTGTCTACTTTGTTTTTGAGACAAGGTCTGTCATTGAACCTGACACTTACTGTTTTGGCTAGCCTAAGTAACCAGTAAGCCCCGGAGATCTACCTGTCTGGGAACCCCACCACTGCAGTTACAGATACACATAGTCATACGCCATCTTTTAAGATAGTTTCTAGGAATCTAAACTTAGGCCCTCCTGCCTTCTTAGCAAGCACATTATCTTTTGAGGTATCTTCCCAACCTAGACTCTATCTTAATAAAAGAACAAAATAATGGCTAATAAATGATAAATAATAATAAATGTTCATTTAAGTTTCTATACAAGACTGTATTAGTATGGGTTCTCTAGAGGAAAAGGACTAATAGAATTTAAAATTATACATATATATGTGTGTGTGTGATGTACATGTATATATACTAACATATATGTATATACACACACATATATATATGTACACACTACACACACACAGATATATATATATATATATTTAGAGAGAGAGAGAGAGAGAGAGGGAGGGAGAGAGAGAGAGAAATAATTTATTAGAATAGCTTAAAGGATGTGATCTGAGTAGTCCAATAATGGCTATCTCCTGATGGAAAGGCCAAGAATCCAGTATTTGTTCAGTCCATGAGGCTTAATGCTTCAGCTGGTTTTTCAGTCTACACTGGAATATTGAGGAAGTAGATTCTAACACGAGCTAAGGAATGACTCAGTGGCAGGACAGATGAACTTGCCAGTAAGAGTAAGGGAAGAGAGACATAAAGTAAAATCTTCATTTTTCAGTATGTTTTTTAAGTAGACTGACACCAGATTTATGGTGTCAGTATATACACACATGGCCCAGATTTATGATGAGCCTTGTGGCCACAAATAATACAGTCAAGAGAAGTCTCTCATAATAGTATGCTGATGTTTGGGTTTGAGTTGATTCCAGATGAAGTCAAATTGGCAACCAAAGTTAGATAGACATCACATGGACCCATCCCTAACCTAAGGAAAACTGTTGCCTCATCCACGGACAATGCACAGGTTCTATATAGTTAGGATGTTATAGATTCAGGAAGATGCCTTTACATCATTATTTCATGAAGACGCAATGAAAGAAATTATGTGAAATACTTTGGTATTTGTGAGACATATTCCTTTCCCCCAGAAAACTGAGAATGGGTTGGATGTGTTGGCCTGCTAGGGAGTAGTCAGCAATTAGCAGTTTACAGACCCAATTTCCCTTTTAAGAACATTCTAACATAGGTGAAGTCACAATGAAAGATTCCCCGTGGACTGTATTTCCCAGGATTTAGACTTGCCCAATCTCCCTGGACACTTACAACTCCATGTGCAGCACATAAGGCAAACATTCAAACACTGGCATTTCTATAGAACAAATGAACAAATTATTTCTTTTCAAGTGGCATTTACATGACAAATTTCCAAGTCCCCTCGCAAATTCCCTGAAGTTGGAGCAGAGACTAGGAACACAAGACTGCCGTTGATTTTTGACTCTGTGCTTTTCTTCTGTCAAAGGCCAGTTAAATTCAAGGGTCTTAAAAAAAAAAAAACTCAGCTTGGGGAATTAGACAGATGGCTCAGTGGTTAAGAGCATTTGTCTTTCTTGACAGCTACTCAGGTTTGATTCCCAACACCTACATGGACATTCACAACTTACTGTAACTCCATTTCTAGGGGAACATATACCTTTTGACATCTCTGGGCATTAGCCACACATGTGATACATAGACATACTCATATGCAAAACATTTACATGCATAAGATAAATCTACATTTAAAAAAAAAAACATTGTGTTGTTTCTTAGCCCAGTAGAAGCCCCACCCACCCGCATCATGCTAAAAGGATTGGATTCCTGAAGTTTTTTAAGTCACCTTGTGAGTTTATGCCATTCTTTACGGAGATGAGTTTGCTTTAGGATACTTCTTAAGGGCTCTTCAGAGCTTCAGGAAGAGTAGTTTCACAAACGAACAGCTACTCTCCCTCTCTGTGTTTCTCCCTTTTCATCTCTTTGAGGAAAGCAAAAACCTACCACTCCACCTCTCAGCTTGAGAAGCACAGCATAGCTGCCTTCTAGACATGTGTGGTGCATTGGGCCACAGTTCTAGGCTAACTTACAGAGAATGAAATATTTTCTGTGAGCTCTGTCCAACTGTTTCAAGGATGCAGGTAATTTCCTCATGCCTACTGAGTTTCAACTTTCACTGTGATTGATCTGAACTCATAGACCCATGTAATCAAAGTGCTAAACCAGATCGGTACCTTCCATTTAGGGCTGCCCTGTGTCTCCTACAGCACCGTGAAATACGTAGGCCTTGACAGGGTGGCTGCTGCTGTTTTTTCCTTCAAATACATCCAAATAGAAACCTCCAATCTAAATAAAACTGAAATGTGACCGGTAATGGATGGCTTGCTATGATAAAAATGGCAGAGGAATTACACATCTCTCTTAAACCACAGGTTTAACATGGGGAAAAACAAGGGAACCACTTCGAGAATCAGAACTCAATATCAGAGTAGACACTTTTCCAACTTAGATATGAGCACATCCTCTGAGGCTGCTGGGAAAATTTCATGAACTAAAAAAAAGAAAAAAAAAAGAAATCAGTTTTGAAGGCAGAAATCTTATTCTACTGTATACAGCGACTATAACTAATTGCAGGAATACAGGATTTGCTGGGTAATTGTTTTGCTCTCGGCCATATGAAGTAAAGATTTACCATCTAGCCTCTAGGGATATAGACTTTAAACAATTAATTAGGAGAAAATTTGCTACAAAGGCAAGCCTTTGCAATAAACCTAGGCAGAAACAATTAGAGGCACGTGTAACCGGAGACGGCTTGCCATCCACACCAGAAACAGCTCAGGAAAAGGGAGCTGACAGGCAGGACACTGCAGTCACAAGGCACTCTTGTGCAAATGCAATTTCTTCCTGCTTCAGAGGTAACTGCAAGACAAAGATGAAAAAGCAAGACAGGAAAAATATCCAAGCCCAAGTCGAGGGCACTATGAGGACAAAG